GCACTTTTTCGTTCAAATTTATTGATAACTAAGAGGTTGATCGATCCGGAATCTATGCAGCGAAAGAATTAATCCAATATTTTGTAGTTTCAAACCGATTTCTTCATTAAAACTATTAAATTCGTTCTATTTATTAACTTCCTTTTCCCTACTTATTACCCCCGTCATTATTGTCAATTATTGAAACTATACTACCGTGTTCGTAAAATATTTGGCTTAAGAAAAAGTTCTACTTTCATGAAAAGTTTATTTGCAAAACATTCACTTTTTAGCATCCTTTTTGTCCCGAATTTTCTCCTTCTTCTTTTTATCTTTCTTCTTTTCTCGTGGAATAATATCATTAAATGGATTACTCAATATTTTCACTTGTAATATTTTCTGTTTTGTAAGCGGCTTATCATCATCTCCTATCTCACATTCTCCCAAACGTAACATATTGAACAGTGTATTACCAACAACCTTCAATAAATATTATATTACACATTAATACAAACAATATAAACTGTTAACTAAAAATATATCTCATCTCGATATATTCCATTTCATGATCTCTTTATTTTTCACATTTTATTACGATTTTAATTATTGAAATTTTACATATTTCATAGTGTTACTAAAAAAAGCCCGAATACACTTTTCTGCGTGCTCAAAAAAGGAACAAACTTTTCCGAAAAGAGTATGTTTTTTGTCGAGATCTGGTGTAGCATTTAAAGTGAAGAAGAATTGAGAACCATTCATCCCATCATTTCCACTAGCCATTCCAACAAGACCACGACGATTAAACTTCAACCGTTGATGGAATTCATTCTGGAAGTTATGCTTCTTATATAGATAAGCAAAAAGAAAGCCAGATATTAAAGCCACCATTATTCTATAACGTCCACAGAAGCTGATCAAAACCACAGAATATGATCAAATCTTTGGATCATCAACTAATATGATTAAAAAGGCAAACGAGTGTCCCTAGAATCTTACTGCCAGAAAAAAAAAACCTGAAAAATATAGGATATATAAAGTATTTCCTAAAAAGAAGTATTCTTAAATTGTGTCATTCACTTACAATTCACTTAATTTTGTAAAAAATACCTTGAATGAAGCAGTATAAATACTTTCACCTCCTTCACCGGTACCCGTTGGGTCACCACCTTGAACGATAAAATCTCGGATTACTCGATGAAATATCGTACCATTATAGTAGCCTTCCATGCATAACTGGATGAAATTTCGACATGCCAATGGACATTCCTTTGACCATAATTCGATATCAATGTCACCAACTGTTGTTTTCATACAGACCTAAGATAGAAATTTCTCTCATTACAAATGAGGAAAATCCAAAAGTTTGGTAAAGCTTTTAAAGTTTGAGTTCCAATTTTAACAATTTCAAAAACTATCTTCGTCATTGGTTACTTACCTCATTTATGATTAACTTAAGTGACCCAATACTTCTTCCACCTTAATGATATAAAAGCAGCAAATATCCTAATGATGGTACTGCTAAAAATTTCTTCATAATCAATATATTAGAAAAAGCGGACTTTGATATTCTCTCTGATTCAGGTCATAAAGTTTTAAAGATTTCGGAACATACCTTGCCATTTGTTGCTGGCTCATTCACATATATATTACTCATCGAGATAGCCTGGAAATCCATTTACTCATAAACTATCACTCAATTATTTATATGATCGAATTAGTATACAGATCATTCAGCCGATCTTTGTACTAATTAGTGTTACTCATTCCAAATGATTTCATTTCAACCGCTCTTATGTTTACCTTCTTATCATGAGAACAGAATTCAAATGTTATATAAGGTCATCTAACACATCATATCATTCCATTCCTATATCTGATAACAGTTAACACTGATAACAATAAAACAACCGGATATATGTATTTATATCCCGGAGAAATATTTAAGATAACGATGACTCACTTATTAAATCCTAAATTACAAGTTCAAATTTTAAATGCATAGGATTTAATCACAAACATGAAGCCTGGTACTCTTTCTCTCTTTGTTGTCTTCCAAAAAATGATAATGGACATGCAAAAGATCTTTTGCCTTCTCAATCACCCATTCTTACAATAATCCGGATCGAAGAACATATTCAGACCACTCAACGATACATTTAATGATACAGTTAGAACTGTATCATGCCATCATGCCATCAACCTCTCATAGAAGTAAATGGAAGGGAATTTTTGGAAGTCGTCTCAGTATTTGTTTAAATAAATGATTGAGACATGAATAGATGCAACAAGAAGTCATATAGAAAAAAATTTCTTTTCTTGATCGAACAGCACACTGAAACTCTACAATTAACAAAAAACAATAATACTAATAAACGATTTAAAAAAATCTTTTTAACTGCCAATATAATTATCCATAAATTAAATTACGGAACTATTACACAAAAACAACAAATTCTACAGTTACTACCAAACATTCAAGAAAGATGAATAAGATGAATGACAAATATTATTTATTGTTATTCAAGTATTATTAATCATCAGAACATTCAAATAGCTACTAAATTAATCACGGGCATGAATAATTTTGATGAAATCAGGTTTCAATGAAGCGCCACCAACCAGGAAACCATCGATATCAGGTTTTTTCGCCAGATCGGCCGCATTTTCAGCAGTTACCGACCCTGAAAATTTACACAAAATGTGAAACTTCAACAGATAATGCAGATCACTAAAATGATATAAATAAATCCTGAAAAATTCCGAACAAGAAAAAAAATGCATGTGTTTCTGCCAGATACTACCTATCACACAAACAAATAAGAGTAAGCAAAACTATAAAAGGAGATAGCCAAATGGAAAAAAGGGAGAAAGAAAAATGAGAAAAAGAGAAGAGAGATGAAAATTAATTACAACCAATAGTGGTATCCAAGATTACCCATCAAATATTAGTATTCCCCTAATTCAACCCTTCCTAATGCAGGAAAAAAAATAGTTCTGAAGCTGGCAATTTTAAATGGTGAATTAACATAACTTCATGCATTCCTTTGTATCAATCCAGAATTTGTATAAAGTTCCATGCCTAATATTTGCATGTGAGCATGCTAAATCCATTAACTTTCAAAAGTATAACAAAAATGAGGGATTTCCACAAAAATCATCATATGCAATTTACAGAAATAAAATTAAGCAATACTGTACCTCCATAAAGGATACGCGTATTCGCAGCTACATCCGCCGATACTTTTTCTTTCAGAAATTCTCGAATCCAACCATGCACTTCTTGCGCTTGTTCTGGTGAAGCTGTTTTTCCGGTGCCAATAGCCCAAACAGGCTCATAAGCTATAACAATTTTAGCCCAGTCCGCCTTCTTGTCAATAACTGCTTGAAGCTGTCGGAAGTTCACCTAAAATATTGAAATGCTATCGTTTTTCAACTGTCACTGATCAACAGTTCCTGAGGGTCACTTTCTGTAACAGAACTTCTAAATAACTTTATACTAAATCAACGTGTAGAATATAAAAATAATCCATAAGCTTAACAGACTAATTTTAGAGAAATAAAATTAGCTGACATCTTTCGTTTTTCCAGCTTCTCGCTCATCCAATTTTTCACCACAACAAAAGATAGTTTGTAGACCACTTTCGATTGCATGCACAACTTTTTCCGCAATTAACTCATCAGATTCACCAAAAATATGGCGTCGTTCGGAGTGTCCCAAAATGACCCAATGCAAACCTAAATCTTTAATCATGGCCGGAGAAATTTCACCAGTAAATGCACCCTTTGCAACCTGAAAAGTATGACAATAATGAATTTTTTTTTCTGAGTTGAAAATATCCCAAACTCCTCAGTTATAGTTTGAATCATCGGATAATTTATGGACTGAATTTGAAATAAAGCTATAAAATGCTTGAAAAAGAACATTAAAATGCCAATAAATGAGTTCATTGTTTGTTTTACCTTGTAGCAATTCTGTGCTGATACTTCGATGCCACTCTTAACTTTCTCCTTTACGTACGACAAATATGGTGCAGGCGGTGCAACGACAACATCCACATTTGGTACCACAGCTCCATCGTTCAAAAATTTAATAATACTATCAACACTGGCCTAAAAACCAAAACATTCGCTATATTAGTTCCCAAACGCAGGCGAAATTATTATAGAATTAGAAAGATGTAGGAACACATATTCGCAACGACACATTTCCGATGGGACTTCCGCTTCACTTATTATTGAGGAGTGGCTGAATCCACTCAATATGCTATCTTTTGTACTTCGGAAACAGTCAGACATGTAGGATCAATCTCAAACACAGCTCATTTGAAACGATTAAACCTATCAACCAATTTTCTTTTTGAACACTAAAATTGCAAAGATGCTATCTTCAAATTAAGAAAGTACATAACTGGAATCCACATGAAAATTGATAATTTTAACAAAATAATTTAAAAATAAAAAATAAACAAATGACAAATGAGGACCTTGTCGCCATTCATTTTCCAATTTCCACCAACCAGAAACTTTCGTGACATCGTGAATCTGGAAAAAGGTAACGTTATCTCTGTTATTTCGAGTGCATAAGTCGTTGGAAGGTCGTAAGTCATAGTAAATATGTAAGGATCAAAAATCAATAACAAGAATAAGAGAGCAAACAAAAAAATAGAAGCATTTGCATGTAACAAAAGATTTCTACAATGATTCTTCAACAGAGAAAAAAAAGTAATCATCTAAACATTTCGTTCATTCATTTCGAATAAGTTCTAAAATATCAGTTGCAATAAATATTGCAAAGTTTTTTTTCCAACTTTTACGACAGAAATCGAAGAAAGTACACAAATAAAAATATTGCACAATTGTTGGATAGTGTAAAAATCAATCAGCTTAAATTCAGAATTAGTACGAAGAAAAAAAAGAAAAAAAACGAACATTTTACCGATCATACCAATTGTTCCGTTTTGTGACAACTTGAAGAAAAAAAACGAATGGGACAAATTTTAAGAGTTATACAGAACTAGTAGCAAACCGGAACATCAACCTTCAAAAATTTAGAAATTCCTTGGAAGCAATAGCAGTAGCAACCAATGCAGATGAGCAAAATTTCACAATAGCGTTATCAACTAGAACTGACAAAATAGCATTCCATGCAAATAATTAAAAATATTTTATTCAAATTTGCTTGAAACGTGCCATAAATCTAACAGTTATGAATTAGAAACTAAAAACATTCCATTAAAAGTTAATACTTAAAATTAACTATCGTACCATATGCTTCGGTCCAAATATACTACCACTAATCTCTAAGATAGAAATATATATATCCTAAAGGTAGCATATGACATGTGCCATGATCTTCAAGATCTTCCAGGACTACACAGCCAAACTGGATTCTTTCAGTATATCTGAAATGCCTAATAAGTATGTACTGTAAAAATGATAATTATTAGCAAAGAAAATTTCATTCATCTTATTTCCCTAATATTTCAACAATTCGTTCAAGGATTCAAAAGATAATCAGGAAATGTTATACATACATAAGTAAATCATAGTAAACATGCACTAACATTAGAAAAACTGAACTATTACCGTCTCTCAAATCCTTTTTTTTCTCACTGTAATTTTAATTCGTAGTAGCAAAGTTTTCAAATTGTCGATATCTTTGCAAAGTTTTTTTTAAATCGAATCACTTAATGAATCACCTTTGTAAAAGAGATTGTTACATATTATCAGATTACCATACTAGCAATTTCAACATCCATCTTGATCCAACTACGTTATTTCAAGCTTAATTACTTAGTAAATTGAAATTTACTCATCGCTCTACCGAATACCTCACATAAACATCCCCAAAATAATATACTTACCGCGCTTCTCAACCATTTACTTGAGCAAATACATTAAGGAACACAGCTTAGCCCAGAAAATATCCTGGCTTGGCAAAATAATTTCCTTACCCTTAGTAAAGATTGAAAATAAGTGAAAATGATTAACTTATCTTGCACAAATTAATGAAGTAAAACTAAAATATCTAGTTCACAAACTTGAATTACTTGACTAAGAGCAACATTTTCACCTTATAAGCTCCAAAACTACCCTCCTCGGTGTATTTTTTGTGAATTTCGACGGATTGCTTTTACAAAGGTTCAGAAAGATCTTCGCACGGTTACAAAAAACCATTTAATAATTTACGAACTGACTTATTCATCCCAAAACTTTATTTCCCACACTCAAAAAATAAATAAAAATAAATAAATAAAGCCAAGAAAACAAAGTCCATCAATTGAACAAAGATAAATCGTTAAAATATAACAACGCAATGTTTTTTTGTTAGAAAATATATCAACATAGCCTATAACAAAGTTTTTCAATCAAAATTATACTTTAACTTACACTTTCATACTCCTCCCCTTTTACCTTATTCATCTTATACTCTATGGAACTCCGAGAAATTCAAGACAAATATCCAATATTTCACAACCTAGAAATTCCGATCACAAGAACTGCAAAAGTTTTTTAAATAAAACAGAAAAATTTCTCCCAGCAAATGAAAATATCTTGCAAAATTTCGTGTCGTTGTGCCGACATATTCTGATATAGCCATTTAATTTGAGAGTAATTCGTGGGTAACCTGAAATTAATAATCAAGTAAATTAAATACGTTCTTTTTCCAATCCTTCACTCCGGAAAAACTTGCTAAGCGAGCCTAAATCGGAAACTAGACCAAACAGACGATTAAATGATCGGTTAACATTGCCGAATAAATAAATAATTGTTTAAAAATTAGGATGGACTTTTTCCCCCATTGTTTATTTGTCGCCGCAGAAATGATCTGGGTTGTCACTCGAATTTTAGTACATCCGTAAGACAAAACAGTCTAAACCATAATACTAAAAAGACCTGTAAAACAAGTCAGTCAAGTCGATGTACAGTTCTTCAGGTATGAGTGAAAGCAAAGAAAGTGCGTATCGCGAAATAGAGATGCATTTTTGGCCTATCTCAAAAATTCTGTGAAGAAACAAACCTGTTCATAACTTTTCTGCTGCATTTCGTATAGCTTCTCAAGTTTTTTCCGTTGCTTCTTTGAAATTTCTTCACCGTTAGCAAGATGCGTCGGTATTCCCTTATCATCATATCTCAAGAATTTTTCAGCCTCTTTACCTTGCTTAAACATTTCCCAAGGTGGTATACGTTTCGCTGCTTCCTTTTCCGCTTTTTCGCATTGCTTCCGCTTTTTTTCCTAAAATACTATATGGAACTGATTTAACATTTTGAATGGAACATGCCAGTGCTAGCTGAATGATGGAGTGAAACCGAAATAAATTCGAGTGTAAAACTGCAACTCAAAATCTCAAAGGCTTTTCAATATCGAAATATGCTGCAGTAACCTTTTCTTTTGCAGCTTCAATAGCCTTCTTCTGTTCTTGCTCACGCAACAAAGTCTCTCTATCAACAAGTTTGACACATGTCTGCGCAGTTCGGTCTTCAAGTCGTACACCCAATTCTGGCAAAACTTCATCTCGCAACTTATCGCATTCCTAAAGAGAAAAAAAATACATATTTGAAAAAAATACATAATACATAAAATATTAAAAAAAACATATTAAAAAGAAATAGGTAAAAAGAAAATAGAATACCAAAATAAAAATACATATTTATCAGAAATAAAAATACAAGCAAATGATACAAACTAATTTGCAACTTACAGTCATGAATTTTCCTAATCAAACATGCAAAAATTCAAAGCTTACTTCAAGGATCTCGATGATTTTTTGTTCACGAGCCACCTTTCGAACGTTTTCACGGAAATCGACAAGTGCTGTTAGATACGGCATAAGTAACTCTTCTTTGGATGTGATGGAAAAACAATGATTCGACACTCCACTGAATAGAAAAAAAGAAAAGAAATTAGGGAAAAGTAGACAAGAATAACATAACATGATCGTTGAAGAAACAAAATCTACATGATTATCTCAAATTAACGAATCCAACAAACTTCTCTTCTATTGGAAAACCAATATCAGCATTTCGTGGTACGACTCCGAAAATTTTGAGTAACCAAGTCATGTATAATGCAATATTTCGCAACAATAAGCAATTTGGTATACAGTTCTCCTTTTTCTCCTGAAAATGAAAATATAAAAAAAAAAACTTGGAAAAGTAGGCATGACAACATTGCACAATATCCCTCGTCCTTCCAGTGCATAATATCCCCTCAGTTATATTAACATAATCGATTTTACTCCCATATAGATTACTATTATTGATACTATCTCAATTCGTTTAAGATTAGGTGATCGATGAACTGAGCTGGAAATGTATAGAGGACCGACGCTTGAAAAGTTTGCCGAAAGTTATCAGCTAATGTTACCATAATTACCATTACCACAATGTCATCGTCACCATATTATTATTATTAATTTATAGTTATTATTATCATCATGTTTTAAAATAACATCGAAATGCACAACCAACAAAACACTAACCATTTCATTGATATAAGCATTCCCTATGCCAATCAATTCTCGCAACTTTTCAATTACCGTTCGTGTATCGACCGAATCACACAGTGCTATGTTTATCTCAGTTTTGATTTTGGAAAAATTACCGACCAAAAGTAATTCCCCATCATCATATTTTTGATAGCTCTAAAAGAAATTGAGCCCTAAATGATTAAAAATATAACGAGTAACATTCCTCTCAACAGGTGCAAAATCATTTACTAAATTAACGATGCTCACCTCACTACTATTTGGCTTATAATGCCTTCGCAAATAATCCTTGACAAGCAAGAAAAATTCGTTGCTAATTTTTTCGAACTGCAAAGCTCTTTCCATCGAAGCAGCACTGAAATTGTTGGAATTTATGAATAAATATGTGGAAAAAAATACTTAAATTTGATAGAGTTGAATGATTATACAAAATCACAAAACCAAGCAGACCTGTAATCAAGAACATCATTCCAATTATGCATTAAGAATAATATCCTTAACTGTCGAGCAGAATAATGTTTCAACGCTTCGCGAATCGTTATGAAATTTTTAAGACTTTTGGACATTTTTAGACCAGCAATTCGAAGTGAACCACAGTGCAGAAAGTAATTGACCCAGTTTTCAATATCATAATAAGCTTCCACCTGAAAGATGATAACAGGTCACCAGAATCAACGAATTATCATGATGCGCCTTCGATTTAAATTAATACAACTTTGCTATTTGTATCCATCTTCAAAGTACAATCAGTGGAGTCAAAATTCCAACAGTTTCAAAACAGAATCTTCAGGTGAAAAATAGTTCCAGCTTTGAGAATTAGTTCACAAATCATTTAAATCTCAAGAAAACAATAGGATTCTAAAGAATGAGTGCGAATAGCAAAGACTACAATTTTACAACACAAAAATTTTGTAAAACAAAATCAATTATCATTACTTGTGCTATTTCATTATCATGATGTGGAAATTTCAAATCAAAACCACCAGCGTGAATATCTAAAGAAGATCCACAGATTTTCGAACTCATTGCTGAGCACTCGATATGCCAACCAGGCCGACCTAGAACAAAACATGTTGTATACATCAGCAAAAGTGATAATGTTCAGTTGCAATATGTGTACTAAATGAACATATAAAATAGCATTGGTGCATATATTAAAATTATCAATTTCTTACCTTTTCCCCAAGGACTATTCCAATACGGTTCACCGTCTTTTGAGGCTTTCCACAACGCAAAGTCAGTGACATTTCTTTTACTCTCAAAAATAATGAAATAAATGATCAAGGTTATATATTTTACAACAATTCGTAGAATATATGTAACGTGAAAATTGTGAATCATTAATACTAACTTGCAAGTTGCCCATGCTCAGATCTCCCTCACTTTCTCGCATATTTTTCATCAGGTGTTCATTATCAGAAAATGCTTCTGGTACCAATTTGCAATAACAATGCTTCTCAGTATTATCAAACTTTACTGTGTCGAAATAAACCTGAAATTTTGCAAAAATTACAAAACTAGAAAGGAAGATTGATTCTTATTAGCTTATTCATTGTATAAACAGGTGATGATATGTTATATATATACATATATATATATATATATATATATA